ATATATAATTATGTTAAATATATTTTTCAACGAAATCTAAATTTGCTCGTATTGGTCTTTTGTGTGAATTATTTTGTTAGATACATTTTATTTTAACTTTTTATTAATCTGTGTTCTTTTATTTAAATAAATTGTAATATACTTAAATTACAATTTACTTACAATATACATGCAACATATACACAAAGGAAAATATTATAAAATTGTTTCAGCAATATAAGTGTCATTATACAGTTTAACCTTCAATCCACTTAAGAGTTACATAATTTTATTTAATTGGGTCAGCAGATTACAACACATGCTTACACAGTTGGTTTATCACAGTACATTGTAAAATACTCAACTTTTTGTTTCCATATTAAATAGTGGATACATAATTGTAATTAAAAAAGAAGTTTATTAAAAAATTCATTATATATAAATAATAAATTAGAAGTGCAATTATACTTAATTATAGTAGGAAATATGTTAACAGTAATACATGAGCTACTTTTAATGTATATAGGTTTTAAAGGAGTGTATCAAGGAGTAGTACCTACGATCTTAAAGCAAGGATCCAATCAAGCTATTCGTTTCTTTGTGATGGAAACATTAAAAGATTGGTACAAAGGAGGTGACAATACCAAAAGTGTTCCTAAAGTAGTTGTTGGTGCATTTGGCGCAGTTGCTGGTGCAGCATCTGTTTTTGGAAATACACCTATTGATGTTATAAAAACTAGGATGCAGGTATATAATATGCATATTATATGTATTTATATATTTATATTAAAAATTTTATGCATATATATTTATATATGTTATTAATTTCTTTAAAACTGATATATATATCTTCATATTATCTGATTTTATCTCTGTCAGATTTTGTTATTCCGAACTTGCAATTTATCTTTGTGCTTAGGGATTGGAAGCTTCAAAGTACAAGAGTAGTATGGATTGTGTGATTCAAGTGTGGAAGAAGGAGGGTCCAATGGCATTTTACAAAGGAACCATTCCACGACTGGGCAGAGTATGTCTAGACGTCGCTATAACATTCATGATATATGATTCCTTCATGGAACTTTTCAACAAAGTATGGCCTTAGGTCTGTCGCATTTTGTATATACACATTATACATTTTTTCAAATTTTACAAATATTGCTTTCATATTGACATACTTTTTATAAGCATATTTGTATGACATATATATTTGTTTCGTCAGAGTTTATTTATCTTATTTAAGATATATGTATATATATATATGTGCGCGCGATAAAAGCTTTCCAGCTTGGGAGTGTTTGTGTAAAAAATTAGGAAAACATAAATATCGCGAATGCATTATATTTGATCGATTTTAAATCGATTTTTATGACAGAGAGTAATTTTGCACAATGATGTGATGTTGCTACCTCCGGCTCTAGCATTTATTTATAATGTGCAGTGCACAAAAATTATTGTTTTTTAATTGCGAAAGCTTCATGTTTTGTTGAATTGTTGTGTTTTATTCATAAATATTTGTTTAGTTATAAAATATTCTAATAACAATATTCTGCAACGACATACATTCCTGGAATCACATTCGTTCCGAGTTATAAGTACGAGAATAACATCTTCATAAATTCCTGACATGTGTGGAAATAGTCTATATATAATATATCTGTATGCCAATACATAATTACATGTCCATTTATATATATATATATATACAGCGTTAACAATAAAATATATTTATGTACAATTTTGTATAAAGAGAAATAGCACATTTAATGACCGAGCAGGGAAAAAAACACTTCAACGAATTTAATTTTGTATAATTTCTCACATCCGAGAGGATCATACCAATGTTGCAGAGGTAAAAATAAGAGAACGTATATTAATAAAAGAAGTCTAATCTTATTCCTATGTAGTCATTTCTTGACATATATGATATTTTTTCTGATAATTAGAATATATAAGTAACATACAAATATATGATAATATTAACATTGCATAAAAGAGTATGTTAAACTAATATTTCAAAATGGAATCTTGTTTGAAAATTGCTAGAAAAGTGCTAGAGTCTGATCTTTCATTCGTTTTAATATATCTATTTTCTCAGTAATAGCTTTTTTGTAGCTCTCAGTAATAGCTTTTTTTTTTTTACAAATTGGCATAGCTCCAAGACTACAAAAATAGTTTGGAAAACTGTCTGAATCTAAGAACGAGCGACTTTTTAAAGAGCGCATACTTGTGAAATGATTCAACTTTTGTTTGTTTGTTTTTTGAAAAATATAATTCTGATATAAATAAAATATATATTTTTATTAATATAAAAAAGTATGAATAATATAATATCGAAGAATATATATACGATCGATTCCATATACATGTTATTTAAAAATTTCAGATCTTAATTATACAGAAAAGATTGGTACAACTTTCCCTCTCATTATATATAGAAGAAAGTCCTTCCATCATTCGTACTTTTATATATACATGGTATCCCGGTCATAACAGTTTCTCTCTGGTTAATGCAAAGAATATACCCGGTTGTTCCCGGAACATTTCGTACAATTTGAATAATCGATGGATCTAGATAAAATTTACTGAAAACGGGCGCTCTCCTCCCCAATATACGGGGGGGGGGGGGGG